GTGTTGGAAGAAGCATGAGAAAGAGGGAAAGGAGCGGAGAAGCGGAAGGGGAGAGAAAAAGACCCGTTCCTCTCTCTTTCTTCTTCAAAGACGGGCGAGAGGGGCCCGAGACACGAATTCAGGACGGAATCTGTCCGGCAGCGCCGGTTAGAAGTCGCTGGCCTCTCTCTTTCTCTTTCCGAGAGCAAAACGCGTTACCGTCGCGGCCGATCCCGAGTCGATCTCCAAGAAGGTGTGGCGGTCAGATAGAGAGCTGGGGATAGAGAAGAAACGGGAGAAAGGGCAGAAGATCGTCAGGGATCTTCGGAACGAGCGTGAGAGGTCGCCAGAGGGGCGGACGTAAGGCCCCCGCGGCCAAATCTTCGATCATCAGCTTGTTCCCTTGCTCTCTCGTTCGCCAGTTACTTTTTCTTTTTTTCGTTTCTTCTTTCTCGCTCGAACGCCTCCACGCACGATATCTTCCATCATCCTTGCGGAATTCGGCGAGTCGAATCGATATGCCCGAAATGAGTTTCGGTGCGTCCTCGGTACGCAACAGATCGGCGAGTTGAGCCGAGGGGCCTCGAAGAAGGCCGATTTCGCTTCTTCGCGAGTGGCGCGAGGGGCCCGCTCTCCTGGTCCCCGGTCCGGTTCCGTTCCGTTCCCGCTGTTCAGATCGGCGAGCGTCGCTCGGCAGAACGGAGCGCCTTACGGCCCCGTGCCCCGTGGAAAAGTGGTTAGGTTCCCGCAGCTGTCAGACGAGGCCGCGAGTTACAGGTGTGCATATCGTGTTCGTGCGCCCACAGTCGTGTGCATGTGACGAGTGGCGGGACGCGCGTGTTTCGTTGCGCAGGACCGATATATCGCACGCGGATTTCGCGGATTTTCCTTAGGATAGCTGCGAAACGCGAGGCAAAGACCTCCGACATATACAGGCAAGTGGCGACCTACGGTAGTGTGTTAGCATAGGGCTATACTTAGCATAGGTATATACTTCTCCGCAGCGGGGACTAGGGCTCTCGGTAGAGCTACCAACTTCGGATCGATTCCGACGATTTTTAAATACCCTCACAGTACATACCTCAATCGGAGAAATAATTTATCTCTGTTTTTTTATAATTCAATAAAGATTTTCTTTATAATTGAAATAGCGCCAGCGAATTTTAAATTGCGCACAGACATTAAGAATGTGGGAACTGATTTTACTTCATTTAAGAAAAAAAAAAAAAAAAAGAAACTTGCGAAATTATTGATCTTTCAAAAGAGTTTTCTCAGATAATACAGCCTCTATTCAGAGATAGAATCAAGATATTTGAAATTCGATGCGCATATATTGTCGAATTGAAAAGAAGCACGCAAAGCACGTCTAAATAGTGAAAAATGTCTCATGAATGTCGATTTGAGGATCTAATAGTAAAAGAGAGTATTCGCAAAAATACAATTCGAAACTATTTAAATAAAACACGACAATCTCGACAAACAAAAATTATTTGCGTGTTTTTCATTAATACAGAATATTTTATATAAAAAAATAAGAACAATAATTATTGAAACAACTAAGAGACGAAACGTCTAAGCTCTACTTGTCAAAATTGACCACAACGCACAAGTGCGTTGAAACGCACAAATTTCTCTTGATTGATTTATCTCGCCGATCGACATGTATTGGCATTACATACTTCCATCTTGCGAAATATTTTCATTATAACCACCGTCGTCGTTAAGGATCAGTGGGAAATGATCCGCCACGAGATGGATAACGTGGAAACGGGTTTAAGCGTGAAAGTAATTGAGGAAGTGGATGAACGAACAAGCGTGCTCCTCGCGCAGCGGGCAGATAAAAGCTTAACTCGTGGAAAATTGACGTTTTTCCTCGATCGAGAGGCGTAGAGCGTAGGCGTTTTTTCTATGTGTATAATTAAAGAAAAATTCTGCAGGAAATAATGTCCGTTTTCGTTTCACGCGATCGTAAGATTATCCGCAATTCTGACAGACACTTTCGCGCGTGAGGGTGCGCTAATATTCGCATAATCGGAAGGCTTTTCATTATTCGTCATACAAAGGATTTTGTTTCATTAATTCGAACATTATATCATTTCTATTACGGTTCTCAGTTTAATTGACGAACGATACCATCGCAAGGATTAAAAATAATGAAATATCACAATTTTACGTTATCGCTTTATATCACATGTCTACTAATCGCAATAATATGTTTTCAAACATGGAATTATCATGTCATCGTGTTATAATTTATTTATTGTAAAAATGATACAAGCTGAAATTTCATAAAACAGGAATACTCGAGAGAAAATTCTCATTTGTCATATTTTTTTTAAATCGACGCACTCATTCGACGAGTCGATTAAATGTCGAATACGCCCATAATAACGGGCTCGTCCGCTATCCAACGCATTCACCGTATCAATCTGTTTCCTGGATAACGAGTCCCTAACCGAGGAAATGATGAAATCCGTTTGTTTCCGCGAGCAGTGAGTGATGGCTCTGCGCCTGAGGGGTAGCAAGGATGTCAAGAAGAGCTTCTATTACGTTTGGTACCTTGGCGCGAGGGAGGCCAAGGGGGTGGACGCGATGCCCGGTGCCATAGCTTACCTGCTGGAGCGGGAACGACTTCAAGAACCTTTCAAGGTCACACTGCAGGTGAGCGGTACCATCCTGAAATCCGGTTTCGGCAGCGCGCATCGAAAATACCGCGGAAACGAATCGACGGACGACGATCCTTGCCCACGATCAACCCACCGGAACTCTCGCCAATATACCATCGTAGCTTCTATTTTCCTTCTTCTTTTTTTTTCTCTTCTTCTTTTTTTCCATGTGTCTGCACGCGTGACAGTGAAAGCCGGAGAACGTAAAAAATGTGAAATTACGACCTTATCCTAGCCACAGGTTCGCTCGACGAGTTTTTCCGTCCGGTCGATCACGAACGGAACGGAATGAGTTTCGACGCAATTCGTCAACGCTTTGATATATTTTAGAAACATTGGGAGTTTTCGATAAGCGATTGTGAAGAGAGATGCGTTAACTCCGATGGAACGCGCGTTCGCTACGTGTACGTGTTTCGAAGGAGGAGGGAGTCATCCGCGTTTTAATAGGTTCCATAAAAGATCCCTAAGTTGTCTGCAACACCGACCGGTGAAAGGACGCGCGAGTTCTTTTCAACATATCTCCTTTCCGACAGTTACAACGCGTATGCAACGAAATTGTTTCCCGAAGGCAACTTTGATCATGTATTTGTAACGTTACGCGTTCGCCACTCAAGTAAAATGTAATAATAAATTCACTGACCCGAATCTTATAGAAACGAGTGCAGTGCTAATACGCCACTTTTTGATGGAGAAAAGAGAAATTAAACGCACAACGTCAAAACTGTTTCGCGACCGTTAAACAAGCACGTGGCATACACTGCCCGGCGCATATTAAGTGATGGCGTCTGAAAAAGGATACGCTCGCTCGTTTAGAAATCGCATTTACTGCCGATACCTGATGCAATAAATCTCGCCGAACCGCAGTTTTCGAATCTAGACAGCGTGAGAAATGATTTTAACGCATGTGTAATGAATTTTTAGTCTATGTCGCAGGGTTAAGGTCCACCAGATGCGCGAGTCCGCGCACATTAAAAGGAGATTATTGCGGATGAATAGTCTGTGATGGAAATATGAACGGTTCAATAATTGATTAGGCTTTATCTCTAACTGTATCGGGCTGTTATATTAAATTTTATTCGTTATTTACTTTGCATATGATTAAAAAGTAAGACAGATACGATATAAATATGGATTTGTGTTCTTAGAATCTTCTTGCTTTCTACTTTTTGCTTCTGGCTTTTCCAACTCTCCCGAACGCACCTGCTATTCGATCGAAATTCACGGTAAAGGTATGTTACATCGCGTTAAAGAAAAACGCACGTTACGAAATGAGATCCACCTAATCGTTGTGTAAGTTTAATTGTCGACGTAGCAACGATGGGGGAAAGTCTACGGGGTGTACGTGGGTGGTAGGCAGATATATCCATAACCGGTCTCGCGAGCGTTTCAGCAATACGAATCGTCGCGATGATCGACAGCGCGGTAATTAAGTGTTTTCGCGAAGTGGAACACATTGTACGAAGAGAGAATTACGCGGCACACGCCTTCTCGCATATCTGCTCTCACATAATTCATTTTAAGGTACAAGGACGCCTGTGCGGGAGGCGAAATGAAGAACAAGGTAATCGAGAGAGAGAGAGAGAGAGAGAGAGAGAGAGAGAGAGAGAG